TATCATAACATAAGCAGGTCTTTTGCAACAAGTCTCCTTATCTCTCTACTGTTTATTTCAGTAAGATGAATCTCGAGCAAACAGTGAAAGATCTCCAAGCTCAGAATACGCAGTTTCAACAGTTGCTCATGACCCTAGCCAAGGGGCAAGAAGAGTTGAAGACTTTGCTGGCTGAAGAGAGGAAAAAGAAAACAAAGAAGGTAAGAGGAGTTTTAAACATGGGAAGAAGATTTCATGACCAGACTAGAAGGACTTTGCACTTTGCAACAACATTCGGTGAAGGAGAGGGGAAAGGAAAGGAAACAGTTGTCCCGTCAGAATCGGAAGAGGAGGAAGAAGAAGAGGAATACTCTGAGGAACAGTACCCTCCAGCTGATGACAAGTATAGACATCTCGAAGAGCGGTTGAGCGTGATGGAAATCCAAAAGGTGCCACCCTTGGACTTTGAGGAATTGGGATTAGTGTCGGAGATTGTGATTCCCCTGAAAATCAAAGCACATGTATTCACTAAATATGACGGAGTTTCATGCGCTAAGATGAATCTTCGGTCATATGTGAGGAAAATCCAACCCCATACCGCTGATAAAGACTTATGGGTGCACTTCTTCCAAGACAGTCTGTCTGGGACTCAACTGGACTGGTTCTACGAACTAGAAAGGGATAATATTCACAATTGGGAAGATCTTGTCGCAGCTTTCTACAAGCAATATCAATACAATGCTGATTTGGCGCCTACCCGTACTCAACTCCAGAGTATGGCCATGGTTTCCAATGAAGGTTTCAAGGACTATGCACAAAAATGGAGAGATTTGGCTGGAAAAGTTCGACCCCCTCTGTCTGAGAGAGAATTGGTAGACATGTTCTTAGGAACCTTATCTGGTCCCTTCTTCAATCATTTAATCGGAAGTTCATCCGCTGGGTTTACTGAACTAATATTGACCAGAGAGAAGATAGAAGCCGGTATAAAGAATGTAAAGATTCAGAAAGATACATCTTCTTCTACAATTTTAAGGAAGCCTTTCACCAGGAAGAAAGAGGTGGCTGCCGTATATCCGCAAAGAAACCAAGATAGGGCCGAACGCCGACCAATGGTGGGGGCGGTTATGATCCCAAAGCCTACATCTGATCAACAAAGAAATAATCAACCAAGGGTGGAAAGGCCAGTCAGGAAATTCACCAGAATTAACATGACCCCGTCTCAAGTATTACCGCATCTCCTAAGATCCAATTTGGTAACCTTGAAAGAAGCTCCTAAAAACCCCAATACAACATCTCCTCATTATCATCCCAATGCCCGTTGCGCATATCAATCTGAAAGTCCTGGTCACAAAACTAATAACTGTTGGGCCATGAAGAATAAAATACAAGACCTCATTGAAACAAAAGAAATAGAGTTTGATGTGCCCGAGAAGCCAAATGTCATTTCTTCTCCTATTCCCAGACATGGCCACAATACTAATGCCATTTAAGAAGATTTTTTTGTTACCTCAGTTGATGAAATCATGACTCCACTTCTGAGCGTTAAAATGAACTTGTTGAAAGCCGATGTGTTCCCGGGCTATAATGAAGTTTGCCATCTCTGCTTATCCTCACCAACTGTTTGTCCTTTGTTGAAAGTAGGCATTCAGTTCCTGATAGATAACAAAGAGATTTTGTTTGAAAAGACTCATGTTCCACCTATCCTTTTTGAAGATGTTTCTATCATTACCATTTCCGCCAATTCTTCCAAGGTCTCCACTGAAATAACCGGCTGAAAATCATCAAACAATGAAGTCGCCATCTAACGTCTTTTATCCCACATGTAAGGAAAGGTAAACATCGAAAAAACCTGAGAAGGGAGAAGTCACGGTCTTGCGACCGGGAGATCGGGTAAGGGAGTCTGTTACGCGAGGGGAAGGTATTAGAACCCCACACGCCCGTAGTACTCTACGGTATCCACTCTTGTTGTCTATCTTATGGGTGTGTTCAATCTATGCTTATTGTTTACTATACTACTGAAGGAAGAATGCATGCAAAATAAAGGGAAAAAGAATGTAGGGAAAATAAAATTATGCTTGCTTGGGCCCTACCCCAATGCCTATGTATCTGTTTTGAGGAATCAGAGTTATCGTAGTTCGGCTTACATGTTTTTGTTTGTTTTGTATTTTTTATGGACAATGTTAATTCCGCCTTCTGCTGTAGCTCGACCTTTGGAGACTTACGCGCTGGCACAGAAGTAAATTAATCATGTCCTTACCTGAAAAGGGTTTTTAGAGAACAAGTGCTCGAGCGTACATAAATATTTGAATTGGTTTGTATTTTTGTTGTAGATGATGACTAGTTAACCTCAAGAGAGAGATATTATCCACTTTTCTACTTAGCCCTGAAAGGAGTTTTTGAGAATTGAACCACACCTAGGCTTGGGATGAAGAACAATAACATCGAGAAGAGACCCGCTTATCATTTCCCATACTAAGCAAAGGCATGATTCTCATCAGTAGTTTTAAAGTGTTTTGAAGTTTGAAAAGGAATAGAGAAGTTTTAATTTCAAATGCATATGCAAAAGAAAAAGAGAAGTCAAAGGGAGACTAGCCTATTTATAAACCTAATGTTATCATTCATTGTTAGACCTAAAGTTATGATTTTGAGGGAATTCTACCTAATGTTTTCATGCTTGGATTTAGAATCCTAATGTCCAATTTTAGTTCAATTAAATCGAAGATTAAATTCGAACCAAAATATCCTAAGGGGTCATGAAAGACTATACAACAAGTAAAATTGGTAGGAAGTATTAAGGTATTGCATACGATCCATACTCAAAAACCGCAAACAAAATACATGATATAAAATGAATAAAACTAATGATTAAAATTGAATAAAAAGTTAGCAAAAGAAGAAATATATTCCTAATTAATTTCTAAAATGCCTTGTAATATTTTTACCATTTTTTATTATGTATTTTTGTTATTAAAAAAATGAAAGAAAGCATTAAAAATTATAAAAGGAAACTAAGAGAATCAGGGGGTGAGAATTGAAATCAATGGGTGTACAGAAACAGGCGCTAGGCCCATAGGAGATAGCCCAATAAGCCATTTTTTGTAACATCAATCAGGCTTCAAAAAAAATGGTGTACATTGGGCTTTTAAAGGGAGGTATGAATTGATTCATAATGTATGACAAAATAAAATGGTATCAGGCCCAATAGTTAAGGTTCAATAGTCAGGTTATTTTTCATAAGACAATTGGCTTCCGAAAACATGGTGATGACGGGTCTGAGTAGGGGTGTGCACAGCGAAATAGATTAAGGCCAACCGAAGTTCCCTTCATATTCTCGCTAGTCGCACTATGTTACTTACCTTCGTATCTAACAGAGGGCTTAAGAACCCTAGGTCGTTGAAAATGGAATTAGATGCTAGAGGCGAGGCTTCTAGGGGTGATCTCTTGGGGATTCTACTCTATCCTCTTCAAGTTATGTAGAGATATGAAAGAACGGAGAAAATATGAAGATGAGGCATGAATCATGATTTACATACCAGGGCGAGTCTGACACTCCTTCAGATTGATGGAGATGATGTGAAACCCAGAGGATAACATTCAGGAGTGCGGGTCTGTTTGTTACACTTGATTATCTATTTCCCGATCCCTTTCACCTTTTCTTCTATCTTTCTTGTTTTTCTTATTTACTTCAGTATTTTTCTTCCACGCTCTTCTTTGATTCTCTGCAAATTTCTCGATATATCGTTGTTCGTATGTTCCAATGGTTGAGTGTTTATTGATTTTTGCGTGAGATCATTGAGAGTGAGAGTTGAAGATCGTAGTCATGGTATTTGAGAAGATGAAGAGAGATTGAAAGGATTGCAGTTGCAGTGATGGTGGTGGTGGCGGTTCTAGAAGGAAGAAGATGAATATAAAGGGAGGTTTTGAGATTGTAAAGACCGAATGGTGAAGGTGAGGGTTGAGATTGATGGATGTTGAAGTGTTGTGGTTGTTGAGAGTGTATAGAGAGAGTTTGAGATGATGAACTCAGAGAGTAAATTGGAGAGAATCTGGAAAACTGGTGTGTGTGATACTGATGAAAAGAAAATGAAAATGGTGGTGAGGGTCTGAATGATGTAGGAAGATTATGCAGAGTGGAGAATACAAAATGTTAGTGGGTCATGATGAATGAAGAAGGTGCAGTTATAATGATTGATTAGGGAAGCCTTGAGCCACCGGATCTCAGAATTCGGTTATGAGATAGAGGGTTGGATTGGAGTTTGGGAAAATCACTTAGAACTAATTTGAATTCTATTTGAGAATTAGTTAGGGAATTTCTATTAGAAGTTTGCTGGTTCTGTTATGAGGGTGGTTAGAAATTGGCTTAGAAAACGGTTAGGGCTTAGGCTGTTAGTTGGAGGTTGTGATGCAGTTAGTTAGTTAGAGGAATCTGTTAGGAATTTTCTGTTTGGAATTTATAGGAGTTAGGAGATATTAGGGAGTTGGTATGAAAAGGAAGTTAGAAAACGTTGAAGGATGAGAATTAGTTACAGTCTCGGAAATTAGGAGGTTAGCTACTGTTGAGAAAATTAACTGGGGATTTCTCTTAATAGGTTGTTTAGAAATTATGTTAGGCGTTTATAGGTTAGTTGAAAACTGTTTCTGGTTTTTGGATTCTGTTAGGTTGTTAGAAGGTTAGAGACTATTTCTAGAGAATGGTTAGGTGACGTTTCTTTTTGGTTGTTAGTTTTGGGTGATGTTGCATTCTGACTAGGAGGCCATTGTGACCAATGAAGTTGAACTAAGCCTGATGAGAGTACAGAACAGACACAGGAAAAATTGGGCCATCTAGCTGAAGTTTGAGATTGTTGTGAAATAAACTTCTCCTCAAACATTGACTTTGAATTGGAAGGAGCACTTGATTTGGATGAAAGCCTCCCATACGGAGACACCGCTGATAGCCACTTTGTAGCAACTGAAATTTCTTGCCGCCACTCATGCTCACATAGCCAACAACTAGTGTCAAGTACAAAATTAGTTGGCCCTTAAGATGGTTGAGTCCAAATAGTTACCCTTCCATGGAAATTTGCTATCAATAATGCACGGGGACAACAGGAAGGGGACCATTCAATAAACTGGGTAGGATCACGAGGAGAATCTGCTATGACATTGAATACCGCACATTCAGTTGGCCTCTCTAGGATCAAATTATGCACAAGGATAAAAAATGTTGGACTTAGAATTGAGCTTGGATCACTGATACATGCTTTAGAAGCACAAGCTATAGCATTCAATTTTCCACACCAAGCAACAACACTGAAATTGCGACAAACTTGGGGGTAATTCATCTTGTGAAGTGAATATATCACTAGTTGTTCAAGGCAGATTTGAAAAATAGTGTCGAGAGTTGGCGAGAATGAGTCTTGATCATTTTCTTCTTCTACATTCATCTCCATTGGATCCTTTTCTTTTTCTTGTTCTTGCTCGGGATCACTCAGTGTCACCGTTACTTCTGCTTCGGTTTTCTTCTCCTCCGAATTCTTTGAATTTGGACTTGAATTTGAATTGGAATTCAAAACCTTTTCTTTTTCGCGATTCTCTTTTTCCTCACCAATTTGAACCATGTCTCTGATTTTGATGTATACAGCAATGAAATGGGAACTCGTTACAATGGCAGAAACAAAAACCAGTGTTAAAGGTGACTGGTGAAGAGACTGAAATACAAATTTATGGGTTTATAGATTTATACAGTTTATTTAATATATTTGCAGGTTTGGTTTATATCATAGCATCTTGGACATATTAGCTTGGAACATGGGGCATAATTGGGGCATGGAGTCATGGAAGATTATAAATGAAGCAAGGTTTGAGGATTAGGACAATCAGTTTAAAATGTACCTTTTTGAGTAACTTTCTATGTATGTAATGTAGTGTAATGGGAATTGTAATGTATAATGGCAATTGAATATGGCTTGAGCATAATTGTAATGACTCTGACTTTTCCAATTGGATTCAAATATGTATCTTCCCTCCATTGCTTCAAATTTAAATTTCCAAAATATTATTCAATTGCGATATTTGAGTAAGCACAAATGAGATAAAGAACCAATGAATGGATTAAGAAGCACTTTTGGTGAATATCTTCATCATTTAAGAATGACCCCCTGCAACAAAACATTTCACCTTAACTTATTGCATGAAGTTCAAACACGAATAGCTTGTGATCTAAGTAATAAAACAATCCCTGAATTAGTGATAATAAACTCAATTGAACCAAACTTCCAATGATATTAAGAACCAAGCAAGACCTTAATACGTTGAACTAAACCCTATGATGATTATGGATAAACAAAATCGAATTCACTTGATAACATAAGCACACTGGAAAAAAATCCGATCCAACTGGTGATTGTGACGCAGTTACTGCTTCTCAACCCCTGGTCCCCAAGAATTTCCATGCATAATACAAAGTCTTCTGAATGAAGTCCAATTGAGTGACTTGTACTATAAGCAACAAATAATAAGAACGTCTTGATCACCCTATGATTTCACAACAACATCTTTGTGTCATAACTCAAAGCTTTTGCACCTCAATCTTCAAAGATATCTTGACTTGCAGAGCACACAATATAAATGCCTTAAATAACTCATGGAGATGGATGATGAGGCTCGAAATGGTGAAGAGAATCCAAACCCTCAAAGCAATCTCTACTGAAAACTGATATTGAAACCATAATTCTTGAAGGTTCTCGATCCCTTGCCAAGTTATGTTGTTAATGAATGTATGAAATGTTAAATGACCTAAGGGAAGGTATGTATATGATGATGCGTAAGCCAGATGATCACATAACGGGGTAGGACAAATTTGGGGTATTACAGTTGACCCTATTTAATCATCTTAAACCTTAAAGTATGATTGGCGTGTGCCTTTTGGATGTTCGAGGTAGAAGATGATTAAATACCAATGCTAGAAATTTGTTCTGAAAGATGGTGGTAATGAGTATTATTTTATTTTTGCGACATCTACTGGGGAATTAAAAGAGGTGGGACTAAACCAGAGGTATATATCGATCAGGATGCGACGACATTAGATTACATCGATCAGGACATGATGATTAAGAAAAAAGCACTGATCAAGACACAATGATTCACAAGAGAGGTATCAATTAGGACACGATAACCAAAAGGGAGACATCGATCAGGACACGATGGCATGTAGGAGACATCGATCAGGACACAACAAATGTATGAATCGATATAGACGAGTATCGAAAGAAAATACGAACGAGTATCACAAAAGGTTAAACACAGACGAGTGTTTGAATTGATATGGACGAGTATTCAAAGGAGATACGGACGAGTATCAAGAAAGGTTAAACACGAACGAGTGTTTGAATCAATATGGACGAGTATTGAAAGAAGATACAGACGAGAATCAAAATATTAAACACAGACAAGCGTTTAAATCAATACGGATGAGTATTGAAACACGATACAGACGAGTATCAAAAGTTTAAACACGGACGAGTGCTTGAATTAATACAGATGAATATTGAAAGAGGATACAGAAGAATATCCAAAGGTTAAACACAGACGAGTCTTTGAGTCGATACGGACAAGTATTGAAAGAAGATACATACGAGTATTAAGAGGTTAAACACACACAAGTGTTTGAATCAATACAGACGAGTATTGAAAGAAGATATAGACGAGTATCAAAATGTTAAACACGGACGAGCGTTTGAATCAATACGGACGAGTATTGAAACAAGATACAGACGAGTATTAAGAGGTTAAACACAGACGAGTGTTTGAATCAATACGTACGAGTATTTAAAGAAGATACAGACGAGTATCAAAATGTTAAGCACGAATGAGCGTTCGGGAGACTGACATGGATGAGTGTTTAGGAATTGACATGGACGAGTGTTTAGAAGTTAACACAGTGAATGTTTAGAAGTTAACACGATGAGTGTTTAGGAGTTAGCACGACAAGTGTTTACGAGTTAACACAGACGAGTGTTTGGGAAACTTGACACACGAGTGTTTGGAGACCGACACACACGAGTGTTGGGTCTGGACTTAGGGTATTGATTTTGCTGGGCATTGAAAAGGTGAAGGTCATCGACTGGGGATTTTGGGGATGATATCCTCTTGTGGGGATGTATTATTACCCTTGAATGACTCAAGTCTTTTGTGTAAGGTACCTTATCTGGCTTATGCTTCGTATGCATGTTTGAATTTCTTTTTCTGCCAAGATCCACTCTGATGGACCGGCTACGCGCTTTTAAGGATGCAATGTTATGCAGTGATAACTATATGTAATGCAAAGAAATAGACTTCATGGGGATAAAAGAAGGCCCATTGGAGACCTCTTCTCATTACTGGAGATGTCAATACATATCGGCACTGGAAGTCTGCAGTACCAAAGATCGTTGGGGATACTGATAAGAATTTGTACTGGGGAGCCCATGACACTGAAGATTGTTGATGGCTCTGCTGGAGATTGAGTTGCCAGCGAAATGAGTCTTCAGATACACTGCTGGATTCTGAATCGCATTGTTGTGGAATAGATAATCTGGCCAGACTTCCATACATCCTGAACTGTAGAAGATGGTAGGACTGAATATGCCGAAGAATGGATATTGAATCACCATGTAAATCTCTCCAAATACATGCCCCAAGTTTACGCACACTGGGGAGTTATCTCTTGAATCACTTAGGGGATAAAAGATAGGCATGAACACCTATGAGTGCCCCGGTTAAGCTCTGTGAATGCCCCGGTTTAGCTCTGCGAATGCCCCGGTTTAGCTTCGCGCGTGCCCTGGTTTAGCTCCACTGGGGATATTCTTGTTTAACTCCACTAGGGATGCACTTGCGCGTGCTGAGTCAAACGACGACTTCGAATTTTCTGAACTCGCTTAGGGAATTAGATTTGAAGTTGTCTGTAGTAGATGAAGGCAGCTTCGTGCGCTGGCTAGGTCAGGGTGACCGTTACAAATTGCTACCTGCAAGGAAAAACAACACTTGGAATGCATACGACATCGCCACATGGTTATACATCGACGTAAATTCAAGTTTTATCTCGGCTTGAGAATTTTTATTCCTCATGTTTCTAATGCAATGTTTAATAACAAATAAAACACATTCTGCATACCGAAACATTTCATGATAATAAGAGACAACTTTGATGAAAGCAGATTTTATTGATTGTCCTATGAATAGGTATTTGTACAAGGAAGCAACTACTATATGAGGTAGATGCGGAATAGAAACGGAAAATACAACAATTATAAATGGAAATGAGAGATGCTCGAATTTCCATTAAAACCGGTATTACTACAATTCCCATATCCTAAGTAGTCTCAATGCCTTGCCTCTAAAGAGTAGTAGTTGGACTGGTCAATTCGATTCCAAGGTGCTATAGATGTGCATGTGTCATTCGTGAAGAGAATTCAGACTACAGCCTCTCGCTTAAGATCCCTAATTTTTGTTTGGATCGCCCTTTCGGGTTTTCAACCCAACGGGATACCCATTTTTGTCTAAGCCTCCCTTTTGGGTTTCAACTTAGCGGGTTATTATTTTTTATTTTATCCCTAATTTTTGCCTGGACTTTCATGTCCACCGGGATGCCTATTTTTTTCCTAAGTCGCCCTTACGGGTTTACGACCTAGCAGGTCTCTTCATGCGTAGAATTTTTTGACTGAGTCTGAATTAACTGGGAGTGGAACGTCTTCCCCGTCCATGTCTTTCAGGATTAGATCACCTCCCAAAAAAGCTCTCTTCATGATGTATGGTCCCTTGTATTTGGGAGTCCATTTTCCCATTGGGTCGGAATGGTTTTGCACGATGACCCTTCTCAAGACCAGATCACCAGGATAAAACTTTCGAGGACGAATCTTTTTTTCGAATGCTCTTTTCATTCTTTGTTGGTACAATTGGCCATGACAGATGGCCATCAGCCGCTTTTCATCAATTAGATTAAGTTGTTCGAACCTTGTCTGAACCCACTCTGCCTCATCAAGCTTGGTCTCCATCGGAACCCTCAATGAAGGAATTTCTACTTCGACAGGAAGCACGCCATACGTGCCATAGACAAGGGAAAATGGAGTTTCCTCTTTTGAAGTGTGCACAGATGTTCTGTAGCCATGTAGAGCAAAAGGCAACATTTCATGCCAATCTTTGTATGTTCTGACCATCTTCTGAACGATCTTCTTTATGTTCTTGGTAGCAACTTCGACTGCACCATTCATTTTTGGTCGATACGGCGATGAATTGTGATGTTCAATTTTGAACTCTTCACACAATTCCTTCATCATGTTGTTGTTAAGATTAGAACCATTATCATTGATGATTCTATGAGGGACTCCATAACGACATATGATTTCTTTCCTGATGAAATTGGTGACGACCTGTTTGGTTACATTCTTGTAAGAAGCTGCTTCTACCCATTTGGTGAAATAGTCGTTAGCCACTAGGATGAATCTATGACCATTCGAAGAACTTGGTTCAATCCTTCCAATCATATCAATTCCCCACATCGCAAACGGCCACGGGGAGGTCATAACATTCAGAGGAGTTAGAGGAACGTGAATTCTGTCTGCATATACTTGGAATTTGTGGC